ATTAAAGATCTATCATCGATGGTTAATATGTACATTTGTTTGGCATCACTCTACTTGTTTCAATTACCAAAAAATTGCTGTAATCCTTTCCATAAATGACATTAAAAATTATATGAACAACTAGATTCAAAGATCATCTTTTTTGGAAGTCGGTTAAAAAGCATATTAAAAGGTTTTCAACCTTTAATAAAACATTACAATTAATGTGTCCTAACTTCGCAGAGCTAAAAGGTTCTCTTTAACCCGTTTTAGACGCATGAACGACTTTTGCGCATCAGTTAATATCAAAATCGTAGCCAATAAAGTATATACTAAATATTAATCACAATTTTGATTCTTCATTTTGATTGCTTTTTTATCAAAGGTCGTATTGGGTACCAATTTTGCAAGAAAGTTAATGTCGCATGAATAAATGGTATTAAATTATGTTCTTATATAATAAATAGTATAAATATCTTCATACCCGTTATTGGGGTTTTTATAACATTAATTGTTTAAGGATAAAAAATAAGTTTTATAATAAAGCAGAAACTATAGTTTGCATTTTGATTTACTTGTATATAATAAGTTTCAAGTACATCGTTAATCAATTCACATTCTGTCATTATTAGTGAAATAAGTGTGAAAATTATATTTTCACTATTGTTATTCAGAAAATAAATTATAATATATATTATGTCATAACGGATTCGGTAGTAGAATAATAATGGCCAAAAAGCCGAATCTTTTCAGCATTCCATGGTTTCACCGGGCGGGTGCTGAGTTTCAGGGAAAGGGGCTTCAACAGTGCTTGGAAACCAGAAGTAGGTTTAAGTGGCCTCTTTGAACGAGCCTTAAACCCTTACCTCCGCTACCCAAGCTCCTCTCTCTACCATACAGAATTTGAAATGAATCTACTGGGGCTGCCTTCAATGTAGGCCCTAAGAATGAATTGAAGTTAGTTCTGGACAGGCCCAAGTTTTTTAGTAGGTTTCAGAGAGATTTGGCTGTTATAATTCTCACTCCCCCTTCTACCGCGTACAAATTTACGAAGAATCTATTCTTTGTGAATTCTTTAGTGAGCTCATAATACTTTTTAATCCGATTGCATTGTAAATAAAAACATAAGTGGTTTTTTTTACTAACTCCCGTTTATTCTCATAATTTTCATCTTATTATGTTTATTAAACTGACATAAAAGGAGAAACTATTTCTAGGTTAGTATGTTCGAGAATCAATTGCTACACATTATAATTGGAAAGAGCAAAGTGATTTAGTATTCTATTGGCTTGTGTACCGGCTGGGTTAATTAGGCCCTTGTTTACGGAAAAGTAACCAAAAACTAATGCAAAAGCAACAAAAACCTTGTTTATAAACAAAGTTTTATGAATAACCACTGATGTTATTTAATATCGGTGATACATGAAAAGATGGTTTTCATTTTAATTAACTATTTCCTATAAAACTACATAGATTTAAAATGACAGTAACTTTATAAAAGAGATTTGCATAAAAAAATGAGTTGAATACAATAATTTTCTGTAGAGTAATTTTGTCCCTTCAGAAGGAAAATTCTTGGCATTTATCATACGGAATGTGAATATTCCTGCTGAACTTTTCTTGCATGCAGGTCTTACATAATTCATGTGTACCCGGTCTATAATATTTAATATTTATAAGATCTAAAGTTATGCTTTTATTTTTTTCATATTATGTAATCTATTTAAATATTGAAGGCAAGGCTGAGACTAAATTATCAGAAAAAAACGTTTGACCAAGACTTTTCTTATGAACGTTTAAACGGCAGGGGAGGCATTAGTTTTTTGTTGAGAAATCGTGAACCTTAAAATTTACGACAGAAACCTTGACTATGTTATATGAAATCTTGTTTTATTCTTAAGCCTCAAAGTATTCTTATATTTATAATTAATAATGGTAATGATTTGGATATGTTTAAAAAAAAAAGTTGTGTTAGGTTAATAGAAAATACTGTCCTTTTCCAGGCCGTGATAACTTTTAATTGAAACAACACTTAGCTAAAAATGTAATAACCTTTATTTTTAAAACCTATAAATGGTGTCTGTTTTGTAAGTTGTCCTTATATAAATAAAAAAATATATAAAAAAGGACTGTTTATAAAAATGTCAATAACTAGGACATAGAAATTATTAAAATTGTTAAACAGTTTAAAAAGTACTAAAATGCATATATATGTGACATCCAAAACATAGGAGATGTTGCGGATGTCCATAGGTGACCGCAATATTATTCATATGTATACTTTTCATATATCTTTATAAACCATATTTTTCGAATTCTCGTTCTTCGTATTCATATAATTTTCCTACCTATTCTATACCTCAAGTTAATCTTCAAGGCATGCATGCTGTAAGCCTGACATCAGTTTGGCGCTATGGTAAATACTTTGAATAATCTGCAGTTAGTTTTCTGACACTAATTTCACTTCCAGAAACTACAACAAAACCTCCCACGGATCTTTTGGCGTGCACATTTTTATCTTTATTTTTATAGTTGGCAAAATGCAAATGTATCTTCAGTGTCTCCAAACATAAAGTCAGATGTTCACTGTTACCTATCTCTCAACTTTGAAACATTCTGCTAACAGGAGGTTCCAAAATTTCCAAAATTGGAACAGGAGGTTCCAAAATTGTCATACTATGCGATAGGATATTTATTTCTTGATAGTTGTGTACCTGTACATCGCCTTTGTTTTCGAAGATAGGTACCTTTGCACTGATATATGTACCATTTATCATGTATAAAGCTTCTTAAATACTAAATATACATTTTGTAAATGGCATTTTTAATAAACTTTCAAAACCTTAGTTTTAAAAAGCATTATATATTATTTTGATTTATGTACTTGATAAATATTTACAAAAAGATACATCGTTAATTTGCTAATGTAACAGTGTAGCTTTTGATAACAGATAATTCACATGCCCTTAAAATAAAAATGTTAAAATTATGACGCAAATTAAACATGAAAGACTTTAAAAGAAACCAACGTCTTATATTTCATGTCGACAAGTAAAGCGTATTGTTTGACTCAAATAAATTGAAAGAAACTGACAATTGTAAAGAAATTTTACGGATGGCTTCAATAAAAGCCTATAATCGAGGCAAGAGGAAAAGAAATTGCGTCGAGGTATTATATTAAGAGATGAGGCTTTTTGAATTGTGTAAAATATTTCGATAAATTTATTATTATTTCAGCATAAATTTTTATTGTCATGCTATTTTTTTTCGCGAATTGTTTTTAAAAAGACTGAAAATTTAAACTTACAATAGAAAATATATGGCAATGATTATTTATTATTAATTAACTACATTCTACAGTTCTTATTATTCACGTGTTTTGTTTTAATAAGTGTTTAATAATTTCAAAGTCCCGAAACCAAGTAGTATTTGTGTATTTACACAAAACGTTTTAATAAAGTGAGTATTGACTTTAATAAAGTAAGAAAAAAATATATCTTAATACTATTTCTTTACTCTTAATTTATAAAATATTAATCGTTTCAAGGTAGATTGAGACACATTTACAAACTAAATTTGATTTAAAAAGAGTGAGTACGTAAACGAAATATCAATCATGGTTACAATTCTTTCTTTTCTTTATGAATTTTACATATTCTTCGTTACTTGTTTCTAAATTTGATTTCGATGTCATGATGATAGAAACTTTTAGCTATATATTTAATTGTAATTGATTACAGTTACTTCAACGTATTTTTGTTGACAATACAGTAGTATGTTTTATCGTAACTTGGCGTTTTGGAGAGTTTTTCCCTCGTCTGTTTTCAATTTTATAGCTATCTCCTAATATTTTTTTACAAATTAAAAAATCTAGTAATGTTTTAAATATTTATTTCGAAACTAAATTGAGGGCTTATGTTAAGATTTCACCTTTCCATTATTTTTGTTACAATCATTAGAATAACAAATTCAAAATCAATTCTTTATTCATACATTGTTACATGTAAATGTTTCTATATACTGCTTTTTATGTTTACTCATTTCAAATCAAGTCTCGAGCGTGCGATTTACAAAAACTTCTTTACTATTCCTAACAGGTCTCCAGAGATATATCGCGGAGTTACTTATGTTTAGGAAACACAAATTTTTCATTTGTATTTCTGTGATAGAAGCTGGACTTATCTGTGAGTTTTATTTTTCATACTTCTGTATAGTTTTTCGAGTTGACTTTTTTGGCATATATATTCTTTTTATGGTTCTATTAAAATATTATATTTACAATAATTATTACAATGTATATAAACATACATAAAATATATATGTTCTTTTGTTTGGAAAGTTTCTATATTATTTCTAACAGGAAAATGTAGGTTTACTAAAGTATTGTGAACGTATAAAGTTACTTAGTTTTTATCTAAATATTCATTACTTTTGAAAATAATTACCGAACATTAAAAAGAGGTAAGAAAATATTTTGGCACGTTGATTATGGATATTATATGTATGTTGTTAAATTCTACTTTTAAATAAATATATGGCTCTTATTAAATAAAGCACATTAATTAAAAATTCTTTCGGCCGGAATCCCCTATTTACAGTACTTATTTAAAATAATCAGTCTTTCATGAAATTGTCTCGTATGATAGTAATTTCTATTTTACTGCGGTCTTGAAATCATCATGGGTGGTCTTAATCCTTTAAATTCTACTCACAATATTTATATATTTCATTGTTTACAAATAAAAAAGTTAGGTACTCTAATCATTGATAGTATTGTATACCGTTCCTTAAGCCTTTTTGTTAATGACATCGTTGCTACTAAATAGTTCCAAATACTGAGTTATATTACTGTAATATATTTAGTTTCTTTTAACACTCAGTTTAGATTCTTTCTTGGACTCTTAAGCTAAAGGGAGAAAGCTTTCTTCTATTTTTCTCGAAGATTGTTGTGTATGTCAATATCAACACGAATCTCTTAATAAATATGCTTTATATACTAACTTGATTGTTTTTTGTTTCAGCGTTACAAACATATTCCTCGTGAATCTTTCGGTGGCTGATCTCCTGGTGACACTGTTCTGTATGCCGGTTCAGATCGCTAAATCTGTCACACTTTTGTGGTACTTTGGCGAAGTTATGTGCAAAACTGTCAACTTTTTACAAGGTAAGTAGGTAATAATTTAAAATGTATTGTTTACTCAAGTAAAAATCCTGAAAAGATAGTAAAATATGCTTCATATTTTATTTCAAGCAATTTATAAACTGCATTTCAACCGTTAATAAACGTTATGTCGCAGACACTTTATGACAAAGCTACAAACGACTTACAATGCCGCTCTGTAAAAAAAAAATGTTATTTTATTTATTCAGAAAATCCGTCAATCAAAAGAATTCCTTAACAGTGTGTTTACACTTATTATTATGACGAGTTTAAATTATAACACCTTCTTAAATTTAGATTTATTTTATTTATATTTATAACTTACGACTTTTCATTGTATAAAAAATAAGTTAGACGTCATCATAAAATAAATTTTATTATTTTTCGGCTACGAAAACAAAGTGAAACAAATTTATTACTATTTTTAGTATGTATATAGAGCCTTTATCCGTATTTAAAGCAGGTTTTAAAATTCTGTTAGTCCTTAATTTCTTGAAACACACGTACATTTACCGCCAGGTCATCCTCTTTGACTTGTAGAGGAATACTTAGGTACTTTACTTAATTCTTTTAGTCTGTTTTTATATTCAGTGCAATTTATTAGGGTAGTCATTAAAATTTAAATATTCTCTTCGGACGTGGTTGACCCTTTGTGGACCCTGAATAAAATTTTAACATAACGAAGAAAAATTACATTTTGTCATAATTAAAAATTTTGGGAAGATTTCATTTTTATTTTAGATTTTATGAAATATAGGAGTATAATGATGGCATTTGATTATTATTAAAATAAAATACTTTGACTTGATGTAACAACAAAGTTTAAAATAATTTCTAGGTTATTATTTACGAATATCTCATTTGACAAGTATCACAAGCATTTAAAGAAATAAGATAAGAAACATTCTGCTGATGTAGTGCCACGACGTTTAGTAGTGTCGAAGATTTTTTCATAAATTGGGACTATACGAAACTATTTTCTTCTGTAATTGCCATCAGAATATATATCTTTTGCGTTAAACTTATTTGAATCTTTCAACTATAAGTCTCATTTTTGTACGAAGAACAAACTACTATTCTATCATTTAAACAATGAAAGTTATACCCAACATCTTTACAAACTTGTGTTCATAGCAGCCCAAGCACGGATTCTTAATTTTATTATTTCAATTAAAATTTTATAGTTTCTTAAGACGTTACAAAAGTAAAACGAGAATATGTTACAAAGTTACGAGTGTAATCAAATTTGCATAGCCTTAAACTTTATAATAAGAGAATGCGATGACGAACTTTAATGCCACCAATTAAGTTACACATTAATTTTGTTATAATGATATATACAGTCTTATACCGCAACATGTTGTCATATAACCTGATTAAATGTTTTGTTTACTAAAATACATAATACGTATAATATAATTTACGTATTACTAGTAGATTAATTAAATCGAGAATAACAAATTTTACTAATATTATTAGAATTGGAAAAACACGTCTTTTTAATAAGAAATTGTAAAGCAGTAAGTAAGTAAAAATCAGTAAAGTATAAGTAAAAATCAAACGAAAATACAATTGTATGACTACATTTTCGTTCATGAATATTTTTTTATCATAATATAACACTTTTATTTTAGGGAGTCAGTATAACGAAAAAAAGACTGTAAATAAAAAAATCAAAAAGGACCACAATTTGATTGTTAACTCTCTGAAGCAAGTGACTTTTGTATCAATAAAGCCAATGCAATAAAATTTATAAAATATAAAGTTTTTTAAGGTCATATAGGTATATAAAAATATTATCAAAAATAGTAATTTCTTTAAAAGCTCTTTCCAAGCAATATCAAGATCTTACACAGTTGTGAAAATCGAATTGATTTCTGAGGTACCCAACAGTTGGATGTCATATGATGTAGCAATGTAAAAAGAGATTGAAAATATTTAAATTTATTTGTGTTGCTTATAGTAGAAACAGAAAATATGAGTTAAATTTATAAAGGTGTAAAATTTCTAACATGCTGTATATTTATCTAAAGAGATTCCTAATAAATCGATATCAATTCCTATTAAATTGACTTATAAAGTAATAAATTATAACGATGAATCATAAAAATATATTTAGTTTTGCTTAGATTTCAAGAATAAATTATTTATTAAATCTTAAAGATTTATAGCAATGGTCAATATTATGCAGTACCTTTGCAGTTTACTACAAGGGGTGTTAAACAATATCTTCTGTTAAAATATTGATACGCGTTTTTTAAAGAGTTTTTCAGTTAGTGTAATTAAAATATTTATTTGCATGTTTTTTAGCTCGTATCATAATCTTCCAAGTTTTTTTTACTTTCTCTATTACGCCTCCTTTTGTAGTGTGAACTTTTTTAGTTTAATATATTTAACTGTATAATTGTAGAAATTCTTTGAGTCTTAAAAACGTATATAAATTTAACTTCAATGTGCACTTATGCACATAACTTCAAGTTAAGATATCCAGAATTGTTAATCAATGACCATTATTAGAGAAAAAAGTAAAGAGTAAAGTAATATTCTGTGATGGCTAATTGGAATCTACAAAGTTTAAAAATATTATGGAATCGCCGTAATTACCGTACTTATTTAACCTTTTAATGATACAATGTAAGTTGGGTTAATTTTAAGAACATAACACGTTATAACTTAAAGTAGTTCTCAGGGTGTTATGTTTTAAAATTACATTAGCCTCTTATAACGCTCCGCAAAATTTGTAGATAAATCCTTAAAGAGTATGTATTTTTTTAAATATGTGTTTTTTTAAATATATTTACTAAGTATTTTGGCGTAGAAAACAATATGAAATATTATAAGAGACCTTATTTATGACCAAATTATGCATGCATACTTAGAAGTATGTTCTAACCAAAAGTATATAAATAACTTAAACACATTTAATTTGTTTGAGAAATAAACTCTAATACCCCGAATGTGTGCTTTTAGTCTTAGAACTATAATTCTGTAGCTTAGAAAATATTAGTGCTTTACATCTTATTTTAATATTTCTAAAAACATTACCAATAATTTTGAATATAAATTTAATTTCGATGACGAATACTGTGTTATTTTTCGTATAAACATTGACTAAAAGTTTTCAACATCCGTATGATAATTGTATTTTATAACTTTTTGAGACATCTTATGGGACAAAGTGTGCATTTTTTAAAATAAGATTTTGAGACATATGCAGTTTTTAAATGAGATTTAAATTAAACGACTTGAACAAGTTTACAACATGAACGCTAATAGAATTTAATTGTTCATTAAGTTTATTGAAAGCCACTTTTATAGTTACTTCAATAGAGTGCAGTATAACAGGTTGATATTTAAAAGCAAGTCACAACCTACACTTGCCCGGATTTTAAAGATATCGACACTAAATGTCAACAAAAAAATCAGAAGATTATGTACATTTTATCGTATATTATATGGAAAATTCTTTTGGATAATTTGATTTACATAGTTCAGAGTACTATTGATAGCAAAATGAAGTCAATTGAAAATAAGTAAGTCCTTAGTAAGTTTTCCACGTGTCATGGAACTTTATAATTTGGTAATTACAAATTTAAGAAAAATGGTCTTTAAAATTATTATATGTTTTATTTATGATAGTAGAAATGAATAGTGATTGTAATATATACATAAAAAAACATCAAACCCTTAAAAAATAATGATTTGGTAATTATCATGTAATTCAGAACTATGTATGTAGTATAAGTCGTATAATTGATAAAACTTCAAAGTACGTTTTAATTTTGTAAAATTAATAAAGTTAAAAAAATAATATCGTAATAGATAATGCAATAAAAAAATTCACTCATGAAGTTTTAGGGTTTTGCAGTTTAATGAAGATGCAATTTATGAATGCAAAACCAAACTTTAGCAGCATAACTTGACAAGCAAGAGTATTGTGTTTTCATTTCTAACTTAGAATATTTCGCGGATATCTCGTATTGCCTCAGCTACTCAGTCGAACATCATAATATATCATTTCTCTGCTCTATTGGGCACAAGAAAATGTAGAAAAACCTTTTATCCTTGACAATTGGAATGTGTTTGGAACTTAAGATATTTTTATATAATATCCGATATTCAAGTGAAACAAATAAAGTTATTTTAAAATTAGAAATCAATATTTCTTACTGTTTATATGAAAGATGTACAGGTGACTTCAAAAAAAAAAAGAATATTAATATTTAAGTATTATTTCATTGCAGGAGTGGCAGTAGCATCCAGTGTATTTACTATAACGGCCATGTCAGTGGACCGGTACTTGGCAATCACGCAGTCACTTCGTCAGCCTTGGATGCCCTCAAGACGCGGAGCTTGTTCCCTTCTTGCAACACTGTGGTTTATTTCCTTAGCCATATTTGCACCACTGCTGGCTGTGGCAGCTGTGGAAAGGGAAGAAGTTCCGATTCTCGCAAGGAATAAAAATGGATCGGTAAGTTTGCAGAAAAGTATTATGGGCAGATCTTAATATTTATTTCGACGTCTTATATGATCGAGATAATATAATAATACATATAGTCTGCATTACTGATATTTTTTTTAATCAACAGTATATTTATAAACTGACTTACCCTTACTTAAGCTTTATAGTCTCTTTATTATTTTATCTGGTATTTAATAGTCCTATCGCGATGGGTTGATATTCAATTTTAATAAAACATTTATCATTTTAAATTACAATAATATTTTACCATTTCGGAAACATGAAGTGACTGGCAAAAAATACAAGGGTTACTTAAAAAAAACATAAATACTGAGGAAAGATAATTATTTGAGAACATATGAAAACAAAAATTAAATGGTATGATAAGAGAAAAAATTATGAAACTTCAACGCTCTTTCTATGAAGGGTAATTTTAAATTCTCTAAATCGTGTTTATTGAGGGCTACTGCAGATAGAGTTAATAAAAAGTAACTGATGTATTTGATAAAAAAACAGCAATTAACGTATTTGTTTCCACTGTCCATATTATTTCTAAGAAGATTTTTTAAAGTGGTTAACTTTGAACATACTGGGGGATTTCTAAATGCACGATACTTCTAAGGCGGAGTTAAGATTTCTGATCAAGAAATACGGGTCATAAGGCGGTGTTCGCACGTGACGGATTCGAGTTGTGGAATCGACAAGAGCACGTTGCATCTTGAAGTACGGGGTCGACACCGAGCACGTGGCGACTAAAAGAACTTCCGAGTAGTCTTTAAATACTAAATGTATAATAAAGAATCGGATGACTGTTGAAACATCGTATTTATAACTATAGTGAACAAAAAATTCAGATCGGAAAAGTATCTTTTTTGCTTGCCACAAGTACCCATTTAAACTTAAATTTTAAAATAATTTTAAAGTATATGCTCTTAATATTATTTTAAGTTTAATACTACTTCCATAAGTGTCACGGCTATGAATTTGTATAGGAATTCTTTAAAAAGTATAAACTCTAATTTCAACAAAATTTTCTTCCACTTAATTTTCCTAACAACTTTTTTTCCCTATCTCGTTACTCGAATAAAGCTACAATAATCTCGCTCTTGTTTTTTTGTCTTGTACACTTAGGATCCTCATTATTTTGTAATTTAAGACAAAATACCCTTGTAAAATATCCTTTTTTTAAAAATACAATTAGTTAAAAGTAAATCGAATATATGCACTACTAAAGACATAACTACATAAACATTAGCCCCTTTTCATGCTTTAATAAATATAACTTTTTTTAATGAAGGGGATAAACAGATGATTTGTAATATAAATTTTATACTTTTGTAACTCCGGATGCAAAGGAGGGATGTTATAAGTTTGACGTCGCAAGTACGTGTTTGTGTGGATGAATGTTAATGTTTATCTGTGTCCATCATAATTTTTCTTAAACGTATTAACCCATTTGGATGTATTTTTTGTATTTGAATGCAAGTTTCCTTGCGTGGTTCTTTGATGTTAAGTTAATATCGGTCTAGCATTTTTTCCCCAAAATTATATTATTCGTTCTTAGATTATATTTACTTGATTAATCGTCTCATTCACGGGACAATTCAGTCGTAGGGGGTTTTTAACATTTAATTTAGTTTTTCTATGATAGAAGTGGGGTAGTATATGGCAGGTCCGACATTAAAAGAGTTGAAAAGGTATTTTTTCTTATATAAACAAACTTCATTTTTTTCTATGAATCACGCAATTCAAATTACAAATAATATCTAAAACTAAATCACTTTCATCTCGTCTATCCATGATCACGGTTACTGTAGAGGCGGTTGCTGTAGATAACGCGTAGTATTCGAAAACCTTATTTTCATTTATATAATTTAAATATTACACTTGCTAGGGTGCTGTTATGATCTTTATTAAAGAAGTGTGCCGATATTTCTGTCATGAAAATATATTAAAAGATATAGGTAGGTAGGTATTTTTATATCAGAAAATAAATAATTTTAAAGTGATGTTGCTTTTAGCTTAAACATATCAATAAAAATTTCTTTATATTCTACTACACATGTTCATGGAAATTTGAGTTTTATCTAAACATTTAAGTGCAATAAAAACTCAGAATTCAGTTATAATTAATAACAATATTTTAACTGCACATTTAAGACGACAAAAAAGAAATTAAAGAAGTAGTTACGAAAAATACAGCGGTGTTATTGCTTATATTTGCATTGAGTTAACTTTTGTAGAATATCATGCATCAAGAAATAAATCCTTCATTTAATATAAATATAAATATTATAAATTGATAATAGTTAAGATATAGAAAAATAAATTAAACGGATTACAATAGTAAATTCTACGGTATTTTCGAAGATGTAGTCTGAACACCTTTTTTCCTCGATGAAATAAGACAATACAAATTAAGGTAGTTTTTTAAATAATCGATTAAAAAAAAACAGTTATGCAAAATTCTTCACAGATTAATTAAACATAAGACAGCAAATGTGCCTTTTTCAACACGATTTTGTTACTACATGAATATCAATTTCTATGTACATTCATATTCCAAATAATTTTATGTTTCATATTCCATCAAAATGTCCCTCACAGTATTTAATAATTTAAAATATATCAGCAAAGTTAAACACGCGAAATTTAATAATGACTAAGATATTGTTTCACGAACAGGAAGTACAAACAAATTAATTGATTTGTCTTGACATCAATTATTAATTAAAAGTAAACAATGAAAACACAGTTAAATGATTTAGGAAAATGTGAAGATAGTAATTTGTGAAGCAAGGTAAATTGACTGCTTCGCATAATGACTGCTTCAACCTGACCGTACAGTCGTTCTGATAGGATATTGGCGTTAAGTGGGTACTTTACCAGGATTTAGGATGAACAAGGGTTAACGTTCTAATAATATCGATCCCATTTTTCTTCTCAAACATTTCCATCTAGAAGTGAAAAGATAGAACGTTTCAGTATATTCTTTATGACCGATTACAACGACAACAGTCAAACTGAAAGTGATGAATTTTCTAATAAAGGAATGTAACCAATTTCTTTATTTTTCATAATTAATAACCGATCTTTAGTCATGTATCTACGAAATTAAAAAGATTATCTACTATGAGAATAATTACTACAATACTTACTTATTAGAGGGGTAGTCTCTAAGCTACACGTCTATTTTCTGACTCATCAATAATAAACAGTATCTGTTCATATAAATTTGACTACATCTTTTGCATTGTCTACAGAAGATATTTAGCCATGAACCAATGCAATAGTTTTATTTTTGTATATGAAATAATTTATTATATTTAATAAATAAATTTGCTATTAAATGAAACAAATACGGTACTTTTAATTTAAGGTCATTAGTACTTTTTCTGTAATTTTTCATTATTCTCAAAACCAAAACAATATATACAAGGCAGAGTTAAACACATTATAGTCGCTGTACGCTAAAATATGAATTTCTGTGCGGTCCTACTCTGGAGTTTTAACATAATGACTGTTTGTTAAGCTCCACAAAAAATAATTAATAAAAGTCTAATCCTTATATATTGCAGGACTTCCGAAACTTTTTAAGAACTTAATAATGTTATAAATAATATGTATTTTTAATATATTTTTGCTACCAAGGCACTGAGAAAATTGAGAAACTTGAAATAAATGGAACGTCTCTTAAATTAACATTAAGGGACACCGTGGGTCGTATTTAATAAAGTTTGTGTCAAACAGGTGTTGAACAACATAACAAACACTGTTTATGAAATGCTCATCATTCGTCGCATTATTAATAGCAAATTAAGTTATTTAACTATTGAGGAATTTAACAATATAAAACGATTATATGTAGTAACAATAGCATTATCTATTTTTAAAGTTGTGTAGTAGTGTGTCCTTATCTATACTTCAACTCAATTTTTTATAAAATTGACATATTGCGCCCTCTCCATTCATATTTACTTAGGTAAAATAACGAATTTGAATAAGTTTTAGAAAATGGTTGAGAAAGAAAATGTCCCTTATTTAACAAGTCTATATTAATTGGGTATTCAAGTAAGTTATTTAAGACTAACTTATTTCTATAAAAAAAGTTATTTTTCGATTATCAGATATCTGACGTGGAAATTTTAAACATCTTATTTAAATAAAGAGTTAAAGCAGTTTCAAGGGGCATGATTTTATAAAAAATTTAATTTATTATCCAAATAAATCATGTTATTTAACTAAGAATTATATAATTTTTAATTGTTCAACCTGCAGACCGTTATTTTATTTACTGAACAATTAACACTGTTTGATTAACTTACTAGACAAAAAGAATTGTTGTATTAGGCAAAAATTTAAAAAGTACTATTAGCAAGAGTCAGCAGCTTATAAGTGTATAAAAAAAAGGAAATATGAGAGTTTATTAATAATAAATAATATTTTTTAATGATTCCGTAGTTACCAATTAATACAAATGTTTGATAGTAATTGAATTTCCAATGATTAATTAAAATTATCTTTCTGAATGACTTTCTTATATAAAAAATAAACTGTCTGAAACGATTTGGCTCATTTTAACAAGATTCGCCTGAAAAATATATTCATTTACTAATATATTGAAAAAATAAAAACATGTCGGAAATGTAATCATGACCTTTTAATGATTAAACGTCGGGTTTGAGCACTTCATTGTTTTAAAAAAAGTGTCGTCGGCACCATTAACGACGAAGGTAACCTCCTAGACGGTTTGACGAATACTTTATTTCGAAGGTGTTTGATCCCTGCAGCTCCTCGAGCGAGAAGGTTTTTAATCTGCACTCTCGCCTCTAGTTATAGCAATACTCATCGTTGTTATGTTATGGAGGTGTCACCTGATAATTTTAACCATACATAATTATTAATCACGTAAATAATAATAGGTGTTTGCTCCGATATAACCATTCTGAAGGTTGCATTAGTGCGTGCTCTGTACCACCCTGCTTTTCTAAGACTACTTCACGTTGTTG